ATAGTAAAAATTAGAGCAGAAATAAACAACATAGAGACCAAAGAAACAATTGAACAGATCAATGAAACCAAGAGTTGGTTTTTTGAAAAAGTAAACAAAATTGACAAACCTCTAGCCAGGCTTATCAAAAAGAAAAGAGAGAGCACCCAAATAGACAAAATTATGAATGAAAATGGACTTATTACAACCAACCCCTCAGAAATACAAGCAATTATCAGGGAATACTATGAAAAATTATATGCCAACAAATTGGACAACTTAGAAGAAATGGACAAATTCCTAAACACACACTCACTACCAAAATTCACACGGGAAGAAATAGAAAACCTGAACAGACCCATAACGAGTGAAGAAATCGAATCAGTGATCAAAAATCTCCCAACAAATAAGAGCCCTGGACCTGATGGTTTCCCTGGGGAATTCTACCAGACATTTAAAACAGAATTAATCCCAATTCTTCTCAAGCTATTCCAAAAAATAGAAGTCGAAGGAAAACTCCCGGACTCATTTTATGAAGCCAGCATCACTCTGATTCCCAAGCCAGACAGAGATCCAGCAAAAAAAGAGAACTATAGGCCAATATCCTTGATGAATACGGATGCAAAAATTCTCAACAAGATCCTTGCAAATCGAATCCAGCAGCATATCAAAAGAATCATCCACCAAGATCAAGTGGGATTCATTCCTGGGTTACAGGGCTGGTTCAACATTCGCAAATCAATCAATGTGATCCATCATATCAATAAAAGAAAAGATAAAAACCATATGATCCTGTCAATAGATGCAGAAAAAGCATTTGACAAAATACAGCATCCCTTCTTAATAAAGACTCTCGAGAAAGTTGGGATAGAAGGAACCTACTTAAACATCATCAAAGCCATCTATGAGAAGCCTTCAGCTAACATCATCCTCAACGGGGAAAAACTGAGAGCTTTCCCCCTGAGATCAGGAACACGACAGGGATGTCCACTCTCACCACTGTTGTTTAACATAGTGCTGGAAGTCCTAGCATCAGCCATCAGACAACAAAAGGAAATCAAAGGCATCAGAATTGGCAAAGAGGAAGTCAAACTTTCACTCTTCGCAGATGACATGATACTCTACATAGAAAACCCGACAGACTCCACCAGAAGCCTACTAGAACTGATCCAAGAATTCAGCCAAGTTGCAGGGTACAAAATCAACGTACAGAAATCGGTTGCATTTTTATACACCAATAATGAAGCAACAGAAAGAGAAATCAAGAAACTGATCCCATTCACAATTGCACAAAAAACCATAAAATACCTCGGAATAAACCTAACCAAGGATACAAGAGATCTGTATGATGAAAACTATAGAAAACTTATGAAGGAAATTGAAGAAGACACAAAGAAATGGAAAAACATTCCATGCTCATGGATAGGAAGAATAAATATAGTTAAGATGTCATTACTACCTAAAGCACTCTACACATTCAATGCAATTCCAATCAAAATTGCACCAGCATACTTCTCAAAACTAGAACAAACTATCCAAAAATTTGTATGGAACCACAAAAGACCCCGAATAGCCAAAGTAATACTGAAAAATAAAACCAAAACGGGAGGTATCACCATCCCAGACTTCAGCCTCTACTACAAAGCTGTCATCCTCAAGACAGTATGGTATTGGCACAAAAACAGACACATAGACCAATGGAACAGAATTGAGAACTCAGAAGTGGACCCAAAAGTATACAGCCAACTGATCTTTGACAAAGCAGGAAAGAATATCCAATGGAAAAAAGACAGCCTTTTTAACAGATGGTGTTGGGAGAACTGGACAGCAACATGCAGAAGAATGAAACTAGATCATTTTCTCACACCATGCACAAAAATCAACTCAAAATGGATAAAGGACCTGAACGTGAGACAGGAAACTATCAACACCCTAGAGGAGAAAGCAGGAAACAACCTCCTTGACCTCCACCGCAGCAACTTCTTACTTGACACATCCCCAAAAGCAAGGGAATCAAGAGCAAAAATAAACTGTTGGGACCTCATCAAGATTAAAAGCTTCTGCACAGCCAAGGAAACAACCCAGAAAATTAATAGGCAACCAACGGAATGGGAAAAGATAGTTGCAAATGACATATCAGATAAAGGGTTAATATCCAGAATCTATAAGGAACTCACCAAACTACACGCCCGAAAAACAAACAACCCAGTGAAGAAATGGGCAGAAGACATGAACAGACACTTCTCCAAAGAGGACATCCAGATGGCCAACAGACACATGAAACGATGCTCAGCATCCCTCCTCATCAGGGAAATACAAATCAAAACCACACTGAGATACCACCTCACGCCAGTCAGAGTGGCTAAAATGAGCAAATCAGAGAACTCTAGATGCTGGCGAGGATGTGGAGAAACGGGCACCCTCCTACACTGTTGGTGGGAATGTAAACTGGTACAGCCCCTCTGGAAAACAGTGTGGAGGTTCCTCAGGAAACTAACAATAGAACTCCCTTATGACCCAGCAATAGCACTGCTAGGAATTTACCCAAGGGATACAGAAATGCTGAGGCATAGGAGCACATGTACCCCAATGTTCATAGCAGCACTCTCCACAATAGCTAAAACATGGAAAGAGCCTAAGTGTCCATCAACAGATGAATGGATCAAGAAGATGTGGTTTATCTATACCATGGAATACTACATGGCAATGAGAAAGAATGAAACCTGGCCATGTGTAGCAACCTGGATGGACCGTGAGGGTGTTATGCTGAGCGACATAAGTCAGGCAGAAAAGGACATATACCATATGTTTGCACGTATAGGAGGATTGGGAGGAACTTGACGGAGACCATGGGGGAGAAGAAGAGGGAAAAATAGTGGGGGAGAGGGAGAGAGGCAAACCATGAGAGACTCTTGAATGCCGAGTCAAACCGAGGACTCATGGGCGTGGGGGGGGGTGAGGAGGGAGATGGGCATGGAGGGGGGCACTTGTGGGGATGAGCACCGGGTGTTATATGGAAACCAACTTGACAATAAACTATTTGTAAAAAGAAAAAAAAAGAAAAACAACAACAACAGGTGTTAGTGAGGATGTGGAGAAAGGGGAACCTTCCTGCACTGTTCATTGGAATGCAAACTAGGGCAGCCACTCTGGAAAGCACTATGAGGTTCCTCAAACAATCACAAGTAGAACTGCCCTACCATCCAGTAATCGCACCACTGGATATTTTCCCAAAAATTCAAAAACACTAATGCCAAGGATACATGTACGCATACATTCACAGCAGCATTATCTACAACAGCCACGTTATGGAAGCAGTCCAAGTGTCCAGTGATAGATAAATGGATAAGGAAGGTGTTTATATATACAATGGAATGTTATGTGACCATAGAAAAGGAATGAAGCCTTGCCATTTGTAATGACATGGATGGAGCTAGTGAGTATAACGCTAAGCGAAAAAAGTCAGTCAGAGAAAGACAAATGCCATACGATTTCAACATATGAGGAATTTGAGAAACAAAATAATCAAAGGAAAAGGAGAGACAAACTAAGAAATAGACTCTTAACTCTAGAGAACAGACTGAGTGATGGTCACCAGAGGGCAGGTGGGTGGGGAGAATAGGTGAAATAGGTGCTGGGGATTAAGGAGAGCACTTGTGATGAGCACCGGGTGTTGTATGGAAGTGGAGAATCACAGTGTTGCACACTTGGAAGTAATATAACACTGCATGTTACCTATACATAAAATTTTAAAATGCACTTCTAAGTAACACACGGGTCAAGCCCTGTTCTAAGCACAGTTTGTCAAATACTATCATCTTTAACCGTCTTGTCACGTCTGTCATAGACACTAATGACTCCCGTAGGGATTCAGCAAAGTAGTCATTCTTTGGGGAAAAAAAGAAAAGGTGCCTCTTTTTGCTATCATATAGTTTTGTTCAAAGGACTTACTATATTCCTCATAGTTTTGGTCAAACTTACCCATTCAAAAGGCAGAAGGTTTGTCCATTGAGAATATATGTACAAAAGAAAAGTAAAAACATTTAAAATAGATACAGTTTAAGCCTCCAAGTTAAATTAAGCACAAACTTTAATTCAAACACATATAAACCCTATGATAATATAGCTCATTATTACTGGATTTGTGACCAGAGGATTAAATAACATCATTGAAACAGAATCACCCATTAAAAAACAGAATATGGCTGATTATATAACCGTCAGGGGCTAGTAAATTTGTAGCAATGAGCTGTCCAAGAAAAAGAAAAGGCCTGTTGTATAGTGTTTATCCATTTCTGTTGTGCAAATACTTCCATCGTGGCCCTTTTCAAGATACCGATGTCACATCAACCAGCTTGCAACATTCCTGAAAACTCAGCACACTACTGAAGCGTGAGGCAAACTAACCTTAAGAGATTACACGGGACCTCCATGTTATGCATAACAAGGTATTCTACTGTATGTATGTGTCTCTTTGTTAAATTTACCTTTTAATTAGTAATTGTTTACAGGTACAAAATTCAAAACTTACAACATGGTGTACAATGAGGACTCTCCCATCATCCTTTCCATGAACTACCAAGTTCCTGAAGGTAGTGCATTTTATTCATTTTTTTGCGTATCTTTCCGGAAGTATTCTTTAAGAAACTATACAACCATATATATCCTTTTTTTTCTGTTTTAAAAACAAAGGTGGGAGTATACTATACTTTGTGTCACATCTGGCTCATTTTTCAGTTAACAATATATCTTGAAGATCATTCTGTTTCAATACATAAAAATAAACCTCTTATTGATAGTCATTTTGCTATCGCAATATTGTAATGGATATCCCAGTTCCTATGTCATTTCGCAATCCTGAATATACGCGTTAAACAAATTCCCGTCAATGAAACCACTTGGTCCGAGAATCTTCAGGAGAAGGCAGCACACATAGCAGGTGGTTAAGCGGCAGAATAATTAAAGACTCTAATCCTGCTCTCAGTGATTACTGACATAATCACATGATCGAGTTAGGTTACCTGAGAACCAAGCTCTGCTTGTTGAAGCTTTCACAACTGGATTATTTGGCCTGGGAGGAATCAAGGCATGCTGGAGACTTAAAAGAGCACAAGAAAAATGAGGTATACTAGAGAATAAATAGAATCACATATATCCTACCCAGCTGAGCCTACATTTCCTTAAGTCAACCATCGATCCATCAATTTATTAATCCATCCATCCAACTATATACTAACTATGTATCTGTGTTAAAGAGAAGAAGTAGCCAACAGACTTGTCTAATAGAATGTGATAATGTAAGTCAATTATAATCAACGTAACCTCATAAGTGGAATAAATGAGTAATACATGACCCTTATAGAAATTCCGAACAATACTGAAAAGTAAAAAGACAAAAGAAAAAATTGAAATCGACCATAATTTTTCCAATCAGAAGTAGCTAACATGAACACTTTGAAGTGTTATACTTTGCAAAGTGTATAATTTAATTTGTATATATATACACATATACGGAAGAGCGCAGGTCTGTGTGTATGTGCATATGTGTGTGTATAGACACACACGTCTTGAATGTTACTATGCACGCTGTTTTTGTGGATAAACGTTAAATGATTATCTACAACAGTTATTCTCACTAGAGGAGCCTCTAAGTGAGGAAAACAAATTCTTCATAAGAGGGTTTATTCCAGTCCCAACTTCTGACTTTGAGACTCACTCAACATAATAAAAGATGTTCCCTTGGGAAGCGTATCAGCCTTGTGGAGAGTATGGAATCCAGAAAAGATTGAAAACCTCTATAAAACTGCTGCATAGGGTTCCAGCAGGTTCAAAGCCCATGATTTATTTAGTCAGTTTCATGTTGTTAAAACGAAGGACATTATTTACAGAGAAACAAAATTAATCTATATTAAGGCATTTATTAACTTACCGGTAAGGACGGAAACTGTCATTTTTCTCTTCCAAAGAAGCTAAATGCTGTTTTAGGGCTTCCAGTAAACTGTAGGGAGCCTGAAGATCAAGTTATTGTGGAAGACTTATTTTCTGATAGTTCTTAGGAAATCCATACTCTCCTACATCATAAAACTAAGACAACCATATAGCAAAGGTATTAAAGGTAAATACAGTTGACCCTTGAACAATGTAGAGGTCAGGCACACAGACCTCCATGCAGTTGAAAGTCCATGTATAACTTCTGACTCCCAAAACTTAGCCGCTGATAGCCTACTGTCGACTGGAAGCCTCACCAATGATATAAACAGTCGGTTACTGCAGATTTTGTGTGTTATTTGTATTAAATGCTCTATTCTTACAACAATACCTAACTTTCCTTAACTTTTTCAGTATTTCTGGGCCAAGAAGTTCATCTGTGAGGTTTTTCAAATTGCTGCAAATCTCCAAAAAATTTTCCAATCGATTTATTGAAAAAACTCCACATAGAATCAGACCTGCACAGTTCAAACCCATGTTCTCCAATGATCAACTGCAATTGCTACAAGTAAATTCATTATGAAAAGCAGCATCTTGATATCAAATCAGATTTTCAAACTACACTTTTATGCACATTTTTTAAAAATGACAAAAGGGCTGTTTAAAACGTCTCTCTTTTGGGGAAGACGTTGGACTTGGCAATCATTCATTATTTTTGGTTCCTTTATGAGTCACCAAGTCACTAACTAAATTTAAGTAAAACATTAAGCCTATTGCAGAGGAGGGAGAAAGGGAGAGAAAGAAACAGAGAGAAAACAAAAGGGAGAGTCTCACTCACATTAGCACATTCAATCATGGTTTTTGGTCTCTGCTGAAATGTCACCTCCTCACCGATATAAAATAGTAGCTACCAATAGTCTCTTTACCCTCATGTTTTACTTTTCTTCACATCACTTACCTTCACTGAGACTATAGGTTTCTTTCTCCTTTTTTATGTTTTATTTATTTTTGAGAGCAAGAGGGACAGAGCATGAGTAGGGGAGGAGTAGAGAGAGAGGGAGACACAGAATCCAAAGCAGGCCCCAGGCTATGAGGTGTCAGCACAGCGCCCGACGCGGGGCTCAAACTCATGGACCAGGAGATCATGACCGGAGCCGAGGTCAGACACTTAACCGACTGAGCCCCCTGAGTGCCCCCAGGTTTCTTTCTGTATGTTTATTGTCTGCTTCCTTGCAAGAGAATATAAGAAGGTTTAGCACATAGTAAGTGCTTAATTAATACTTGCTAAATGAATGTGGCTACATCTTTTCATTCCCAATTCCCATTAAAAATGGAAAAAGTCTTCTTCTTACATAAGATCTATTCCCCAGAGGAGTTTTCTATATCCCACCACTTCCTCTCGTGATCCAATTACTCACCCTAAAGCAAGTTTACTGATAAACTACTACAATACATTAGACACTAGGGATACAGCCATGAACCTGGTCCCAGGCTTCATGACCTGGGAAGCTCCAGTCTACAGGTCTGGGGGACGAGAAGTATCAAAGAATCACATGAATAAAATGTCAAATCAAAGTTGTGAAAAGCACTATGAGAGAAGCATACGTGGTATTCAGCTAGTGTTTAAGTTGGAGAATCTGAGCATGTGAGGGAGGCCAGAGAAGCAAGTCCTCCTGAAGAAAGCAACAGCTGAGCTGACACCGGAAGGATGTCCAGAAGGTACGTAGGGTAGTAGGGAAGCCCACGCACCATGCTGCTAGACCAGAGAGCAAAGGGAAACGTGGGCGAGACGAAGCAGGAGAGTAGGTACGGGTTCAACAACGCAGGACCTTAAATTAAAGGCCATGTTGGTGACCTTGGACTTCATCTTAAGAATGGTGACCACTGGAGGACTATGGAGTGAGGGTGAAGTGGTCACGTTTGTGTTTTGACAGTTACCAGATCAGCATTCTGGTCGCATTGTGCAAAACAAAGCGCGCAGGGCAGAGTATATGGTGGCAGAGGGTTGGGAGTTGTGTGGAAGTCTGAGCCTCGACGCTGGATGATGGTGTGGCGGCAGACGCGGGGGCAGACGGCCACTGAAACCGCAGTTGGAGGGGGTTTAATGAGGGAACTGTTTGCAGAGGTGTGGGCAGGGCTAAGGGACAATTCTGCAAAACAGGGGGCACAACAGGTATAAAGAAGGGCAAGAAACACAGAGGCGCCTGTGTGCCACGCAGTGTGGAGGAGCTGACAGAATGAGGCTGCCAAGCAGACACCTGCTCACAGGGCCTGTCCCGGGGGGGGGGCAAAGGCGGGGACCAGGAGAAGGCCCGCCCGGAACACCTCCCAACAACGCGTGCGCCCTGCGCGCAGAAGAATAAGAGACCCTGCCCTTGACGGAGCCCACGGGCACTTCAGCAGTGGGAAACGCAGGAAGTCTGGGGTTTAAGGAGAACCTCAAAGGTTCAAATACACGACGCGGGCAAGAAGGGGCAGTGGGACACCCCAAAATGATCAGGGGGCTGCCAGCTTCATTAGGGCAACGTCACAGTTGCCGCCGGGACAGAGTGTTTCTGGTTCACTCAGTCAGTCATTCAGCAAGTGCGTAACAAAACAATGACGAATAAGTGAAAGAACAAAATAACCACAGTTACCGGTACGTTTGAACTTCGTTTGTTGGAAAGATTCCCTTTCATCTGACTTGTTTTCACACAGTTCACTGCGAGCTGCAAATCTGTGGAAATACCGCTGCCCAAGGTTAGCAGATGTAAGCAGCAGAACATGGCTCGGAGCTGCTGGAACGTGCCAGGCCCCAAGGTGCTTTGCGGGGAAAGGGCAGGAATGAATCCGCGAGGCGTCTCTGTGAGGCGCGCAGGCACCCTCCGCCGCCCCCGCCCCCCAGCAGCACAGAAACCCTGGTGAAGGGAGCGAAATGCCTGCAGGTCCACATGAGGGCGAGACCGCCCGGTAGCTCTTTGAGTTTGTGTCCCTGGGGCCCTGACGAGGGACGTGGCCCGGAGGTGGATGTTGGAGCGAGGCTCGTAGCAGCGAGAAACGCAGACAGCGCGGGCCCGAGCCTGAGTTTCCGGGAGTCACCCCGGCACAAACGGCACAGAGCGGGTGAAGCCCGAGGGCCGCTCACAGGGGAGGCGCCGTGGGCCCCGGACGATGTCGACATCAAGACAGAAAGGAGGCGCTGAGCAAACAAGGGAGATTCCTTTTAAGAAGCCACAAGGGCTTCGGTGCCTAACGGGTCAGCCTCGTTCACAGAGAAAGGCCCGAGTGCCTCTGAGGGAGCTGGTGGCGCGCTGGCTAAAAGCTTCCTTACGGGGCGCCTGGGTGGCTTAGTCAGTTGAGCGTCCGACTTTCGCTCAGGTCATGATCTCGCGGTTCGTGGACTCGAGCCCCGCGTCGGGCTCTGTGCTGACTGCCAGCTCGGAGCCTGGAGCCTGTTTCAGTCTGTGACTCCCTCTCTCTCTGACCCTCCCCTGCTCACGCTGTCTCTCTCTCTCTCTCTCTCTCCCAGAAATAAAACATTAAAAAAAATTAAAAAAAAAAAACCCAAAAACCTTCCTTACAACCGCGTGTTGTTGGGAGTGCACCTCTCTCAAGGAGACCATCGAAGTGGGACCAGGGCGACACGGGCTTAATGCTCCCCTCCCGCCCCTCCCAGGGAGCCCTCTGCATTTCACTCCAGGGTTTCCCGGACACGAGACAGCGCGTCCCCGGAGCAGCTCTGCCGACTCAAGGCCCCGACACATGACTTCCTGTACTGGCTGAGGGCCAGGGGCCAGTGTACTGATGATAAGGAAGCCTTCCCAGAAAACGGAGCGGATTTAGGGAGGAAGGAAGATCTGCAAGAAAGTTTACTGACTAAGACCTTCAACCGCCTTCTGCAGCCTCTCCCATAGCCATGTACTTTGGTTTTGATTTGGGGGTCCCAGGAACCAGAAGTGAGGTAAGGAGGGGAGAGGGTGGGCCAGTGGGAAATGTGGACCTCAGTCCTGGGGCTCCTTCTGTCGGACATTCCCCTTAGAGCTCTGGCCACAGGCAGTGAGCACTGAAAGAGGCCAAGTCCAAGTCCAGGCCAGTTACTGCCTGTCAGTGCCCTCAGGATGGCCAAGCTGCAGTTCCCAGCAAAGACCCCTCCTCACCTCTACCACCTCCCTGAAGGAACTGAGGGCAAAATCAGAGGACTGCATCTTGGGAGACATCTAGTCATGCTTCTGTAGTCTTTTTTTGGAACTCAGGAGTTGGGACCGTGTCTCATCCATTATAGCTCCTTCCTCCTGCCAGGAGTCAAGGGTGTATTTGCGAGTGAATTTTGATTGATATGCACCGGTTATGGTGGCTTTGGGCAATGACATCCCATCTTCTCCCCTACTCGCTCACACACTGTCACTTTTTCTCCGATCTGGCTATGGGACTTTTCATTCAGGAAGCTGCGAATCATTTCATGCGACAGTGGGGTTCAATGTCTGTGCCCCAGTTTATGAGAAGACATCAGATCGAAACTCCCTTTTCTGCCACCAAACCTCGCATTTATTTGTATCTGCAGGCATCCTACCCTTGCCTCCTCCATTCTCTCACTGGATGCCACAGGTGTGTCCACAGTGTTCCAGATCCAGTGTCTTCTCATCCCCTTGGGGACCTCAATCTACTATCCCTCGCACCCCCTACATCTTCACCCTCTCTCTCTTCACATGACCACCACGTGTGCCAGGCACTGTCTGAGCACTTTACCTTCCTTCAGTCCCAAGCAAGGCAGGTCCGCCACACCAAGGTCAGGGACCCGGCTGGGCAAAGGTCAGAGCCCCAACTTACGGGCAAGGGAGAGCCGCAGGGCTGGCGATGAAAGTCCCACGCTCCTGGGCTACAGTGGAACTTAACTGTAGTTAGAGGCCTGGAGGCCGGGAGTGGGGTGAGGGCAGATGGTGAGGGGGCATGTAACTTGTGGAGTGGAGGTCTTTGAGTCTGAAATGGCCTCCACCTGCCCTCCAGGCAAAAGAGTAAATAAAAAACACTATCATCTCCCAGGAGGATGGCAGAAAGGAGTGCCAATCTTAGAGATAAAAAGGATGCAGGGGTGATGGTCTCCATCATACTCCGTGTAGTTCACAATTATGGCCCCCAAAACCAGTCAGGCCCCGGAGACTGACAAACTACAGTGTAATCAATCAAGTGGAAATCTGACTGTAGCCACGGTGCCAGCCACAACAGTTCCTCCAGCAGGGATGGATTAGTGTAGTCTCAGACACATGGTGTGGGACTCTCAACTTTGGGAATGTTCTCCTTCCCATTGCTATCAAAAGTGTAGATCAGAAAGAGTTTGTAGGCATGGAATGAATAACAGTATACATTTCCAGTTCTGACTCAGGCTGTGTCAGCCCTCAACGTTCTGTCACAATATGGTCAGAAGAAGTCTAGACCATCGGGTTGCCCCTCAGAAGATCATGCTGATCCACTTACATCCATGACATCACGCTAACCGGATCAGATGAGCAGGAAGTGGCCAGTATAGTGGAGACCCTCCAAAGCTACATGCCCTCCAGAGGGTAGGAGATAAAGCTCACCAAGAGCCACGGGCCTTCTACGGTGGTGACCTTTCTGGAGTCCCAGTGGCCAGGGGGTTACCAGGAAACTCCATCCAGGACAGAAGATAATGTAGTGCATCTTGCTCCCCCCACCATCAAGAAGGAAACACAACACCTGGCAGGCCTCTGCATTCTGGGGACAGCATGTTCCCACACGAGGGAAGAATGCTCCGGCCCCGATCCCAGGCGACCTGGCCACGTTAGTCTGGGGCCCAGAGCAGGAAAGGGCTCTGTGGCAGGCCCAGGCTAGGCCAGCAGCCCTACTGCTCGAGTCCTGTGGCACCTGTGGGACAGAGCACAAGCAAAAGGCACCCACTGGCTGCTCGAGCAGGTGGCCTTGTTTCACCCACACTTGCCGCACGGCCACCTCTACCTCACATCCCGCCTTTGCCATGTGGCGGATTCCTGATGATCAGTGTTGAGGAAAGGAAAAGCCTGACTCCATTTGATTCTCGTGACACTGCTACGAGGAAGATGGTAGTTATTATTCCCATTTTGCAGTCGCATAAATGGGGCATGGAGAATGGAAATGAGTTGCTTGAGATTCCAAATATTCCTTCGTTTCCACTGTCCATTTATAAAGCAAAGTTAGTTAAGTGTCCCTACTCCTGATTTCAGCTCAGATCATGATCTCATGGTTCAGGAGTTCGAACCCTACATTGGGCCCATGCTGACAAGGCGGGGCCTGCTTGGGGTTCTCTCTCTCTCTCTCTCTCTCTCTCTCGTTCTCTCTCTCTATGCCCCTCCCCCACTCAAACTTGCATACATTCTCTCTCTCTCAAAATAAATACGTGTGTATGTAAGTCACGAGGAACTGAAAATACACACGTTAAGTTTATGGCAAAGGATAGAGTCTCAGATGATGACTGAGGCAATAAACACACAAACGTAAGGACAAAAAAATTTGTTTAAACACATAGAAAAGATACACTGACCTGTGTAAGGTATGGAATATATTTCTGGTCAATTCCGACTTGCTGAATTCACAAACCAGGGAGAACAGTACACATTAAAGCACGGAGAGGCAACAAAGAAAAGGGAGTGTGAGACCAGTGTGCACACAAAAGAGAAAATATCTCCAGCGCACGAATACCTTGCTGAGCTAGTTCATAGCTGATCAAGAAAACTATGTCAAGCTAAAGTATGCCTTGTACCCTTAAACACAAACTTATATTCATCCTAAGGATAACCCTATAAAAGAAAAGACTTGCCAGATATTGAATCTTTGCTCTTCTGGACTACATTTTGGATATTATACAAACATGGTCTCATTTGTCAGGTCCTCAGAAATCAGCTGTTATTCCTATTGTTCTCCTGGGAGCAATATCAGGTTTTGGTTTTGGGGGTTTTTTTGCTTTGGTTTTCAGAAGTTCAACTAATTATCCCGCGTGGATTCTGAATGTCAGGGCAAATGAGGGGGTCACCTCATATGTTTCCTACTGTCCACTGCCTGAGAAGATGTCTGTCACGTGATTTTGGCCCAGTGTTAAGAGTCGTTTCCGGCGGGAGGGTAAGCTTGGTAACACTTAACCTCATGGCTACACACAAAAATCCTCAAACTACCTAATTTTAGTGTATAGGTTTACTGTTTAAAATACAGTTAAAAATACTACCAACTTCTGTGCGTGCATGTGTGTGTGTGTGTGTGTGTGTGTGTGTGAAGTGGCGGGGCGGGGGGGCGGGGGAGTCACATTATACCAGACACTAAACCAATATAGAAACCAGCAGAAAAGCCCTGGATAGAAACAGATCTCTGTACCTCTGCTACTTTCAGGAACTCTGCCAACTTCGTTGTTCTCGCAAGGAACTTGGTGTAAATATCCAAGCTTTCCTTGCACTGGCTTTTCCTCATAGCAAAATACTTGTCTAAAAATGAAAAAACAAATTTATCATGAAGGAACCGATATCACAGCAACTTTCCAATTACACTCCATTGTGATCATTCTTTTCAAAGCTGAATCTGTATATGATTTTAACTCGTTCAAAAACAATTATAGTTTTAACCCAGTTATTTTCTGTCTTGGCAAACAACAACACTGGTCGATCCATATAACCAACAGATGTTTAGGAAGTACCACATGCCAAACACTGATGCTGCGAAGATACAGATAGATTAATTTAATTTCTCTAACTTTCAGTCTGAAATCTTATTTACCAACATCACAATCTGAAGCTTTCTGAGGGAAAGGGCTGTGTTTCCTATTGTTTTGTAACTGTACAAATGTACTAGATACTTCTTCAGTATAAGGAAAATATCAAATTCTCATCAATGAAGCTTAGAGAACACTTCCTATGAAATAAATATTCATTAGGACAGAAAATTCCTGGAAAGCATAAGAAGCATATGCTTGTATATAATAATAACAATTAGGTTATAAGCTATATCTTCCTAGGAAAGTCAAAATGATATTATATGACCATGGTGGAGTGGGCCTTAATGTGTAACGTATAAATATGGTGATCCATGTTGATTTCCTGGTAAATTTCCCAGAAATATCAATTAGCACTTATATAAAAGTTCTGTGGCTAATTAGTCAAGCAATTTTTATCCCAAAAAAAAGCAATATAATGTCTCATTATTTAAAAATATATATATGACCTTGAAAGGATCTTCTATTTTGAATCTGAAACAAATATGAATCTAAATGTAGAGATAAAAGGTTTCTACCAGTTTGTTTTTTAAGCAATGTTTATTCCCTAGCCTACCTAGCAGATTGAGGATCCCCTCATTATAGGCTGCAAAGAGGCGAAGAGAATCCTTAAAGAGAAGTTTGAAAGCAGCAAGGATTATACCATTCGTTAGTTGGTCAGGATTTGCCTGGAAATGAAATCAAAGAGTAATCAATCACCACCACAGTTTAAAATAACTCCTTCCCCCACCTACCGCTAAACAGTGCCATTTACCAACATGTTTAAAAAAGATTTATAAAGCTCTTACGTTAAAATTAAGAAGAGCATCAAACTGAATTTGAACAATCGGAAGAATGTTTAGCAGCTCTTTTGTATCCATAGTTCTCATCATACCACCCATCCTATAAAAGAGAAGAGATTCATAATATCAATAATTAAGAGTTTGAGAAGCACTGTGACATCAGCATCTTGAAATAAATCTGTGTTTTTAGTCAACTACATATCAGAACACACATGTATTTCGGTATTTCTTGCTTACAAACGAATGATATTTACTGACCCTCTCTTGGCTTTGGTGACATCAGATGTGATCAGTCTGCATGAGAGTGACTTCTCGTTCAGGTACCTGCTATATCGTCTGATGAAGGTTGACATAGTGTAGCCTAAAATGAGATACTTTATTATTTCCAATGTAACTAATATTAACCATTTACAATATATGTCAATAAATGCTGAGACTCTTCATTCCATTCACCCATATACCTCAATGATATCTTTCAAGACCAAAAGCTAGAATGGACCTTATTAATGACCTAGTCCAATATTCCTCACACTTTCTGTTAAAGGTTATTTATTTCCGTGGCTTCGAGGCAAGATGGCGGAGAAGCAGGAAGCCCCGTACATTTCGCCTGCACTCATCTCTCAAACAGAGAAGGCCTGAAGCCGTAGGACACTGAGCCCCAGGAGTTTGGGAAGAGAAAGAGACAGAGCACACTGGGGAGGAAACCTCATGGGTGCGTGAGTGCGAACTGGGGGAGATACAAGCGGGACGGGACCGAGAGACACGGAGGGAGGGAGGGAGGGGGGGAACCCGGCTCGCGTGCAGCTGCGGGGAGGGATACACCGGCGAGTGGGGGCGAGCTGCCGCGAGTCCAGGGGAAAGGAACGAAAAGCTGAGATTGCTCATAGAAACGTCCCTGGAGAAGAGAAAAAACCTCAGCTTGGAAAGACAGTGTTCTGTAGCTCTGGCTGCGGTGCTGACTTTAAACTAGGTGCCCTGGTCCCAGAGGCGCCAGGAAAAACTGCACTGCTGCACGTCCGGCAGCGTCCATGGCGGCGGCGGCCGGTGAACCAGCAGCAACGCCTGCGGAGGCGGTCCCGGCGCAGGGTGAAGTGGCGGTGGCGCGCGTGACATCGGCCCACTGAAGTGGCGGTGGCGGCGACCCGGTGAAGTGCTTCCGGCACCTGGTGACACGGCGGCTGCGTGAGCGGAAGTGGCCTGCTGAAGCGGAGGCGGCCGCTAAGGCGGCTGCGGCGGGGTGAGGAGACGCGGACTCTGCGGACCTGAAGTTGCTACGATCTCCAGACGCACTCGGGTTGTACCCTGCTTGACCCCCGTGGACCTGCGGCTATGGCACTTCCCCCACCCTCCACTCACCCCCCCGCAACAGGGAAGCAGCGGCCAGCAGAACTGTTAAGGGCGGTATAACAAAGCCTCTCAGGAGTAATCAGACGAGATAGTCTCTCTGGATAACACCGCCGTCTTTCTCTCACCTCTCCAACCATATTCCACCTTTTAGCTCTTTGAAAAAAGCTTCTTATCCCTTCTGCCTGTTCATTCTATCTCCAATTTTGCCTCATCTCTGCCCTATCATCTCTCTCTTTCTCTAGCTCTTCAAAAAGCACTGCATCCACCCGGCTATTTAATCGTAGCTGGGAAATCTGGTTATATGCGTTAAACCGATCTTTGTCTATCAGTTTTCTTCTTTCTCCTTTTCTTTTCTTCTTTTTGAATTTTTTATGTATTTTTATTTTCTATCATTCACCTCCCCTTCTCCGTCTTTTCTCATTACTTTTTAATTTTCCCTCTTAGTTAGCATGATTGTTGGATTTGTCTGTACATTGGGGTCCCTCTGTTCCCTGTTTGTCTGTCTGTTTTCTTTGACAGGGCTACCTCAAGAAAAAAGCCAAAGTACACATGGTGGAGAGTCCCAAATACCACTACGAGTAGGAAAATGAAATAACCAAGGTCTCAACAAGAGAGACCAAGAGATACCATTCAAAGAACACTTTCTGAAAGGATAGTCCCAGGACAGTCAGAGAGTCTTCTTGGGTACAGCAGCGCTCATAGGTGCAGAGAGCATAACAAGTCTTTAAAACTAACAAAAGACAGAAAGCTAACCAAAATGATGAAATGAAAGAGCTCTTCTCCAAAGAAACTCCAAGAAGAAATGACAGCTAATGAACTGCTCAAAACAGATATAAGCAGCATAACTGAACAAGATTTTAAAACAATAATCGTAAAATTAACCACCGGGCTTGCCAAAAGCATAGAGGAGCTCAAAGAAACTATGGCTACAAACAACATGGAAAACAAAAATAGGCATGATGAATTTAAAAATGCGATAAATGAAATACATAATAAACTGGAAGTGTTCAATGCACGGACTGAAGAGGCAGAAAGGACAATAAGTGATTGAGAAGACACCATTATAGAAAAACAAGAAGCTGACCAAAAAAGAGACAAACTGATCCAGGACCATGAAAGAAGAGTTCGAGAGCTCAGCGATACGGCCAAACGCAACAATATCCATTTCATAGGAACCCCAGAAGAGGAAGAGAGAGGGAAAGGTGCTGAAGGAGTCCTGGAACAAATTATAGCAGAGAACTTCCCCGACCGGGGGAAGGAAGTAAACGTTGAAATACAAGAGGCACAGAGAACTCCCCTTAGACGTATCTTGAATCGATCTTCTGCACGACATATCATAGTGAAAATGGCAAAATATAAGGACAAAGAGAGAATTTTGAAAGCAGCTAGGGAGAAAAGGGCCCTAACATACAAAGGGAAACCTGTCAGAGTGGTGACGGACCTAGCTACTGAAACGTGGCAGGCCAGAAAGGAATGGCAGGAGATCTTCCATGTGATGAACAGAAAAAATATGCAGCCAAGAATCCTCTATCCAGCAAGCCTGTCATTCAGAATAGAAGGAGAGATAAAAACCTTTCCAAATAAACAAAAATTGAAAGAATTCGTCACCATTAAACCAGCCCTACAAGAAATCCCGAGGGGGACTCTCTGAGGAAAACGTTTAAGAAACGCAAGATACCAGAGACACCATCACAAGCACAAATCCCACAAAGGACACGATGACTCTAAACCCATATTTTCCAATAATAACACTGAATGTAAACAGACTAAATGCCCCCAATCAAAAGACATAGGGTAGCAGAATGGATAAAAAAACAAATTCCATCCATTTGCTGTCTACAAGAAACTCATGTTAGATTGTAAGACACCTTCAGATTATAAGTAAGGGGTGGAGAAATATCTATTATGCTACGGGAAGTCAAAAGAAAGCTGGAGTAGCTATACTTACATTGGACAAACTGGACTCATTAAAGACAATAACAAGGGATGAAGAAGGGCATTATATAATAATTACAGGGTCTATCCCTCAGGAAGAACTAACAATTATAAATGTCTATGCACCGAATATGGGAGCACCTAAATATTTAAAACTATTAATCACAAACAGACACAACCTTATAGATAAGAATGTGCTAATAGCAGGGGACTTTAGTACTCCGCTTAAAGCAATAGATAGGCCAACCAGACAGAAAATCACTAAAGAAACAATGGAGTTGAATGACACAATGGACCAGATGGATCTGACAGATATATTTAGAGCTCTGCATCCTGAGGCCATGGAATTCACTTTCTTCTCAAGTGTGCATGGCACGTTCTCCAAGAAAGATCACATACTAGGAAATAAAGCAGCCCTCAATAAATAAAAAAGAGTTGAGATCATACCATGCACACTTTCAGATCACAATGCTTTGAAACTTGAACTCAATCACAGGAAGAAGTCTTGGAAACCTCCAAAAACATGGAGGTTAAAGAACACTCTACTCAAGAATGAATGGGCCAATCAGGCAATTAGAGAAGAAATTAAAAAATATACGGAAACAAATGAAAATGAAAACACAAGAATCCAAACTCTATGGGATGCAGCAAAGGCAGTCCTAAGAGGAAAGGACATTGCACTCCAGGCCTATCTCAAGACATTAGAGAAAGCGCAAGTGCAAAATCTAACAACTCACCTAAAGGAACTAGAGGCAGAGCAACAAGAGCACCCCAAGCCCAGTAGTAGAAGAGAAATAGTAAAAATCAGAGCAGAAATAAACAACATAGAGACCAAAGAAACAATTGAACAGATCCATGAAACCAAGAGTTGGTTCTTTGAAAAAATAAACAAAATTGACAAACCTCTAGCCAGGCTTCTCAAAAAGAAAAGAGAGTGCACCCAAATAGACAGAATCATGAATGAAAATGGACTTATTACAACCAACCCCTCAGAAATACAAGCAATTATCAGGGAATACTATGAAAAATTATATGCCAACAAATTGGACAACTTAGAAGAAATGGACAAATTCCTAAACACACACTCACTACCAAAACTCACATGGGAAGAAATAGAAAATCTGAACAGACCCATAACGAGTGAAGAAATCGAATCAGTTAAAAAAAATCTCCCAACAAAAAAAGCCCTGGACCTGATGGCTTCCCAGGGGAGTTCTACCAGACATTTACAACGGAATTAATCCCAATTCTTCTCAAGCTATTCTAAAAAATAGAAATTGAAGGAAAACTTCCGGACTCATTTTATGAAGCCAGCATCACTCTGATTCCCAAGCCAGACAGGGATCCAGCAAAAAAAGAGAACTACAGGCCAATATCCTTGATGAATATGGATGCAAAAATCCTCAACAAGATACTTGCAAATTGAATTCAACAGCACAAAAAGAATTATCCACCGGGGTGCCTGGGTGGCTCAGTCAGTTGAGTCTCTGACTTCAGCTCAGGTCATGATCTCGCGGTTCGTGGGTTCGAGCCCCACATCGGGCTCTGTGCTGACAGCTAGCTCAGAGCCTGGATCCTATTTCAGATTTTGTACCTCCCTCTCTCTCTGACCCTCCCGTGCTCACGCTGTCTTTCTCTCTCTCTCTCTCAGAAATAAATAAAACATTAAAAAAAAAGAATTATCCACCAAGATCAAGTGGGATTCATTCCTGGGTTACAGGGCTGGTTCAGTATTCGCAAATCAATCTGTGTGATACATCACATCAACAAAAGAAAAGATAAAAACCATATGATCCTGTCAATAGATGCAAAAAAAAGCATTTGACAAAATACAATATCCCTTCTGAATAAAGACCCTCGAGAAAGTCGGGATAGAAGGAACTTACTTAAACATCATAAAAGCCATCTATGAGAAGCCCTCAGATAACAATCTCCTCAATGGGGAAAAACTGAGAGCTTTCCCCCTGAGGTCAGGAACACGACAGGGATGTCCACTCTCACCACTGCTGTTTAACATAGTGCTGGAAGTCCTCGCATCAGCCATCAGACAACAAAAGGACATCAAACGCATCAAAATCGGCAAAGAAGAAGTCACACTTTCACTTTTCGCAGATGACATGATACTCTACATAGCAAACCCGACAGACTCCACCAGAAGCCTACTAGAACTGATCCAAGAATTCAGCCAAGTCGCAGGGTACAAAATCAACGTACAGAAATCGGTTGCATTTTTATACACCAATAATGAAGCAACAGAGAGAGAAATCAAGAAACTGATCCCATTCACAATTGCACAAAAAACCATAAGATACCTAGGAATAAACCTAACCAAGGATACAAGAGATCTGTATGATGAAAACTATAGAAGACTGATGAAGGAAATGGAAGAAGACACAAAAAAATGGAAAAACATTCTATGCTCATGGATTGGAAGAATAAATAAAGTTGAAATGTCATTACTACCCAAAGCACTCTACACATTCAATGCAATTCCAATCAAAATTGCACCAGCATACTTCTCAAAACTAGAACAAACTATCCTAAAATGTGTATGGAACCACAAAAGACCCCGAATAGCCAAAGTAATACTGAAGAATAAAACCAAAACGGGAGGTACCACCATCCCAGACTTTAGCCTCTACTACAAAGCTGTCATCATCAAGACAGTATGGTATTGGCACAAAACCAGACACATAGGCCAATGGAACAGAATTGAGAACTCAGAAGTGGACACAAAAGTGTACAGCCAACTAATCTTTGACAAAGCAGGAAAGAGTATCCAATGGAACAAAGACAGCCTCTTTAACAGATGGTGCTGGGAGAGCTGGACAGCAACATGCAGAAGAATGGAACTAGATCATTTTCTCACACCATACATAGAAATAAACTCAATATGGATAAAGAACCTGAACGTGAGACAGGAAACCATCAAAACCCCAGAGGAGAAAGCAGGAAACCACCTCCTTGACCTCAAGCGCAGCAACTTCTTACTTGACACATCCCCAAAAGCAAAAGAATCAAGAGCAATAAAAAAAAACTGTTGGGACCTCATCAAGATTAAAAGCTTCTGAACCGCGAAGGAAAGAATCCATAAAACTAAGAGGCAACCAATGGAATGGGAAAAAATAGTTGCAAATGACATATCAGATAAAGGGTTAATATCCAGAATCTATAAGGAACTCACCAAACTCCACACCCGAAAAACAGACAACCCAGTAAAGAAATGGGCAGAAGACATGAACAGACACTTCTCCAAAGAGGACATCCAGATGGCCAACAGACACATGAAACGATGCTCAGCGTCCCTCCTCATCAGGGAAATCCAAATCAAAACCACACTGAGATACCACCTCACGCCAGTCAGAGTGGCTTAAATGAGCAAATCAGAGAACGCGAGATGCTGGTGAGCATGTGGAGAAACGGGCACCTCCTACACTGTTGGTGGGAATGTCCACTGGTGCAGCCCCTCTGGAAAACATTGTGGAGGTTCCTCAAAAAGTTAACAACAGAACTCCCCTATGACACAGCAATAGCACTGCTAGGAATTTACCCAAGGGATACAGGAGTGCTGATGCATAGGGGCACATGGACCCCAATGTTCACAGCGGCACTCTCAACAGTAGCCAAAACATGGAAAGAGCCTAAGTGTCCATCCACGGACGAATGGATCAAGAAGATGTGGTTTATCTATACGATGGAATACTCCATGGCAATGAGAAAGAATGAAACCTGGCCATGTGTAGCAACCTGGATGGACCTTGAGGGTGTTATGCTGAGCGAACCAAGTCAGGAAGAGAAGGACAAATATCATATGCTTGCACATCTAGGAGGATTAGGAGGAACTTAACTGAGGACCATGGGGGAGAGGTAGGGGGGAAATAGTGGGTGAGAGGGAGAGAGGCAAACCTTGAGAGACTCTTGAATGCTGAGAACAAACTGAGGACTGATGGGTGTTGGGGGGGGAGGGGGGATGGGCATGGAGGAGGGCACTTGTGGGGATGAGCACTGGGTGTTATATGGAAACCAACTTGACAATAAACTATTTGTAAAAAAAAATTTTTTTTTAAAAGCTTATTTATTTCCTCAAAGCCTTGAAATCACCTCATGGTATAGTGTTGATGGTGACTTTTCTGAATTGAGGAAATAATTGAACTTTATCATTTTTTTTTTCACATTTCCACAAAACTATTGGAAATTCTTAGCATTTCCCTGAAGCTCCCCATCCCACTGTCACCATCTGTCCCCAGGTCTGCCCATGTTTTAGCCAGGCATAGTTTTCAGAACAGAGCTTCCTCCCCCCTTGACGCATGGAAATATTTCCATCAAAGAATCATCTTACCTTCTAGGACGCTTTTATCCATGAAGTTGTGTAAAGTGAACAAAGAGCTTCTAGACGCGAGATGCTGGATAAAACGCTGTCAAATGTGCAAATTATAAAATTAGCTTCTGTCCACAAGTTGAGCTCTTTAACGAGTTTATCATTGTGAATGCATATTTAACACAATTCTATCGTATAGCCTCTACCTATCTCATGAGCACTGATAAAGGTGAGTGCAACATAAGAATATGCCCTGTTCTCAACTCTCCCAAAGAAATGAGGGGTTAAACACTGAGGCTCATGTGAATACACGCTCTTTTCCGCCGGGACTTTCCATCTAGCCATTCCCTCCTTTCTGATTTTGAGAAGTTTTCATTAATTACAGAATTATTTTAATAATAAGCTTTTTAACAACTTAATTTGCATAAAAATATAATCTGATACGTCTGTGTACCCCACTACCCAGAAATGATAACTGCTAACTTTTTGACATCACTGCTTCGAGGCTATTTCAAAAATAAGAGGAATGAAGTATTATAAAGTGAAAGTGCCCTTTGCCCAACCCCAAGTTCCATTTCCTTTTCCCCCCTGGAAGTAACCAGTATCATAATTTTAATCTTTACAGTCTATTTTCTTTATAGTTTCAGATATAATTGTCCCATGACTGAATACTAAGTATTTTGAAATTTACATAAATCATACTATATTTAAATATCATTTTGCAACCTGCTTCCTTTATTAGCACGGTTTTTCAGGTCTAGCCTCACTGGTAGACATCCCACTTAATTTTATAAACACCTCATTTTAGTTATGTGTGCTGTACTGATAGAAATTTAGCTGAGTTCTACTTTTCAATTATTAGAAATATGTTATGAAAGTGGATTTGCTGGGTCACTGGACTTGGCATTTTCAATTTTACTAAACATGTCTCAATGCTCTTCTCTCCACAGTCATAAACTCTAGCAACCAATATTTACATGTCATCCACCGGGTATGTGAATTCTCATTTCATCAAGACCTTCCCAACTCTTGATACTGTCATTCATCTTAAATTCTGCTTATCTGAGCATGTTCTCAGATGGTCGTCAGCCATCCTGATTTCCTTTCCTATGGACCCTCTGTTCATTTGTTTGTGAACGATTCCACTGTAGTGCCTTTTTCTTACTGATAAGGTATTCTGAATATTAATCTTTGGTCTGTGACGTATATGTTGGAAATACCTCATTCCAACTTTAGGGCATCTTCCCTGCTCAAATATATGACATTTGTAGCATATTCTCCTAAATTTTCTTCAATTTTAAATTTTAGTGTTTTGCATTTGTAGATATTTCAATCATGTGGCATTTATTTTTCTATATTAGAGTAAGATCTAAGTAAAGATCTCGTTCTATTTATTCCATAGAAATGTTATTTCTACCAAAAGGCTTTATTTTAAATTCTATACTTTCCCCCACATTTTTAGTGCCACTGAGCTCCGATGTAAGTATATAGTTCTACTTCCAAGCTCTCTATTATGTTCCATGTATGTATGTTCATCTTTTCAGTCAATACTATACGGTATCATTAATCACTTTATAGTAAGTTTCAAAATTCAGTCAACTTATAAATCCTAACTTTTTAATGTAAAGCTTACTGAGACAAAATGGTAAAGTAGAATAAGTAATTTCATGTTAAAGAACATTTCAGTTCTGTAAAATACAAAGAGTGTTTGTACATGGGAAGAGGTGGATGGCTGAGGATGTGATCCACTCATGCACCCAGTTTCTCCTGATAAAGGAAAGCGATACATCTTTGAGGGTTTTCTCTCTTTGGTCTAAATCATCTGAAGAACTGAGGGAAATATCCACTCTATTATCTACTTTATCATCTAGTGGCTAAAACTGTATACCTCAAAAGCTGATTGTAAAGAGATACCCATAAGTAAAAATGGAAAAATCAGCCTTAGGGAACCTATTGGTATTTACTTCCCTTACTTGTTACAAAGTAAAAGAGTAAACCTTGACAAACCAAGAATATTTTGCCATCCTGTACCCGCAGTCCTTTGAACTAACAGGAAGGAAATGATTACACACTGAATGTACAGCATGCTCACCTCATTTCCATGAACCATGAGGTGATGCACGGTGACCAGGGCTTTGAACACCACCACCCAGCTGCTGCTCCTGGCTTTCTCAGAAAGAACATCAGCCAGATGTTCAACACTCATGTTTGTTTCATTTATGTATTGTATCAGATCTGAATTAGGGACAGTGAAAAGCATTAAAACAGTCAAGTGCCAGGGCTTGTATTTGAAATCACATTTGTTTGGCCAAGATGCTAACCATCAGGTCATACTGCCTTTTTCAAGAAAAGTGACATGATGTGAAGGTTCAGTCAGGCACTCTCCTTGTAGCGGCGCCCCACGTTGACCCTTTTGTTTGCATCCTATAACCTTTCATGGCTTGTTCTTTCTTTAAATTTTTTTAAAGTTCTACTTCCAACATGGGCCTCAAACTCATGACCCCAAGATCACATGCTCCGCTGACCGAGCCAGCCAGGTGCCCACTTCCACACAGCCTTATCCCTACTTTACTAAAACAGCTTCCCAATTTCCTGCTCTGGGTTGTAACCATTCATACAAGGCCTCAAAAGCTAACTTTCATTATTTCATTTTTCCATTCAACAATATGCAAGGATCCCCTACTTTTTATTCAGTTCAAAATCCTCTCTGGGGGCCCCCCGGGTGACTCAGTTGGTTAGGAGTCTGACTCTTGATCTCAGCTTAGGTCATGATCTCATGGTTCATAGGATCCAGCCCCATGTTGGGTTCTGTACTGACAGTGTGGAGCCTGCTTTGGATTCTCTCTCTCTGCCCTTCCCCAGCTAGTTATCTCTCTCTCTCTCTCTCTCTCTCTCTCTCTCACTCACTCAAAATGAATAAGCTAAAAAAAATCCTCTTCCATTTCAAAGCTGTTTATATAAACTATCATTATAAAACAACCTCATCTGTAGCACTTAATCATTAAGCAGCACATTCACATGCATACAGCACCAGGATCTGTACTGAGGAGGGTGATTAACAAATACACTGGGTGAGAAACAGGATGACCTTAACTGTAGACCCAGTCAGATTCATTTATTCAAGTATGTACTCTACATGCCAGTGGCTGTGCCATGTTTAAGGTTATGAAGAATGAGCTTCTCTCATAATTTTTCTAAGTCTGCTTCACTCCTCTTTCTGTGAAGTTTCCCCTGGGAGGTTTTTGTTTCTCCTTTCCCATGATTTCAACATCCAGGGGTGTATAGTATATAGTCTCCAGAATCTCCTACGGGGCCTGCCCGGATTACGGTTAAGCATGCCTGTGTGTACATAATCTGTTTCACTTAGTGAAGTGGCGGTTGCTGTAAAGTATCATGATGATAAAAAGTTAAAAATTCAGAAAGCAAATATATACTACATCAATGGAGAGTTTTTAAGCAAAACAGCAAAATAAAGAGGTGATCAAAAGAGTGAGCTGGCTATGAAGTTCTCAAAGGCAGCGGGATTTATGTATACTGGCAATAGCACGTATTGTTTATGAAGTCAGTGGTCAATGGGAACTCAAACAGTAGTGGGAAGGGATAGCCTGGGAGTCTATTCTGTCTTTGAACAACAGATTACTTTAAGGATCAAAATTCTGTCACCTGGAAACATTCACGGGAGCGCAAAAAACGTTGCAGTGGACATTCTAAGGCCTATTGATTGACTTCAGGTTAGGACTGACCAGGGGATGATCTGCTCCGCACACTTTTCCCTCCTTGATTTCGGAAGCCTTACTGAATGTGGTGATTTTATAAGGGGGCTTGGGCGGACTGTGGAAGTGAGACCCTTTTCCCAAGCCTGGCTTGTTATTATTCTACCACTTTGCGTGTCCTAAGTTATTGGGATAACTTGTAAACAGTTCAGAGCTTGGGGTTAAAAAGGCAAGGGGCTCCCTTCCAGGCTCCCGCAGGAAGAGGGGGGCTGGTAGGAGGGGAGTGGGGTGCCCACGACCTTAGAGGCCCCTGGGCCTCACGGGCCATCTGCGCCAGAACTGCAACTCACCTGCCAGGTGTTTCGGCTCAGGTTCTGTGGGCTCATCGGTGGTAGCCCCGAGGGCAGCCTTGGACGCATAAGATCCCATGGTGCGTCACAGAGCGCTGGCCACGAGGGTGACGGCTGCGGAGTCCGGTCCCTCCGCTTCCGGGCCCGCGGACTGAGCCAGGACCGGTACTGCAGGCAAAAGGCGGAGCGCCTGGAGTGACGGCAGAAAGGCCCGGCTACGCGGCTAGCCTCCACGTGGCAACCCTTTCTCCTCGCGGCCTGACGCAGACCTGCAGCCCCGTGAGGTGGGGTTTGAAGCTGCGGGCCGAGGGGGCGGGGGTCCCTAGGGCAGGATCGGGGCCTGGGGCGGGTCACGTCCAGAGGAGCGAGGCCACCACCTTTGCGTGGTGGATGCTCAATAACAAAATAAACAATCGCTTGACTGAGTATTATGAAAAAGGGGGACATGTTGGGGACTCCAGATAAAGGGTCTACAGATCTCCAGGCCTTGGAAAGTTAAGTGGTCCGAGGACAATACTTTGGAAACCCTTGACGTGGCATTCTTAGGGAGGCTCCAGTCACATGTTATGGAGGCCGCTTCCCGCCTGAGGACATGTCCTCCTATCCTTCACCCAGGATCAGACATCTAAGTCCATAGAGTTGTTCCTACTGTCCCTCCATTACACGTTTCCTATGTGCGGAGTCCATAGTGGTGGTACCGCTGTCGGCCCTTATATGCCTAAGTCTTCTCTCTCCTTCTTCTTCATCGTTCTGGGCAGAGAGCTATCAACGTTCATGATGTGGAAGAACCAACTTGTGGTTTCATTGGTTTTCTCTATATTCTGTTTCCTATTTCATTGAATTCTGCTCTTTATTATTTCCTTCGGTTTGCTTTTGGTTTATTTTTCTCTTTATTTTCCGGTTCCTTAAGGCAGCTTAGATAACTTATTCGAGATTCCTCTTTATAATATTAGCGTTTACACTTAAGTACTGCCTTTCTTCTCAAAGAACATATTTCTTACGATTTCAACTTTTTAAACTTTGTTGAGATTTATTTTATGAGACAGAATATGCTCTACCAAGGTCAGTGTTCTCTGTACTCTTGAAAAGAAGCGTATTTTTCTACTATTGGCTGCAATGTTCCAGTCAAATGTGTAACATAGTTCCTGATATTGTATCACAAGTGACTGAGACTATTCATTTTCATTTCTGAAGCCGTCTCCTTTCCTAGCCTTCCTTCGAATGGGACACTTTCCTTTTATGTCTCTTCAAATTCACTGAGCTTTTCTTCTTTCTTCTGCAGTCTACTCTGCTAATGTCATCCGGGACAATGATTTAATTTTCAGTTTGGGAGGGGCTGAGAGACCCAGCCAGGCCTTCGGTGAACCAATCCATCTTTGAATTAGGCCCAGGCAGCTTCAGGAACCTCAGTGTACTGAAGGCCTCAGGGGAAGGGAAGCGGGACTCATGGAAAAGCGCTTGTGGAAACAGGAGCGCTTCAGGCTGTAGACTTCATGCTGAAGAGCTTCCTTAATGGCTCCTGTTTTTACCAGCTCCTCCACTGGGACAGTGATCCCCCATTTCTCTTGCCCTGGCATCCTCTACTGCTTCCACTCTTCCACACCACTGTGGGCACTCACCCCACCACCATCGCTGTTCTAATTGTGGAACCTCCCTCACAACCTGAAGAAGTGTGAAACCGTCTCAATGCACCTAGTCCCCTGGACATTCAGCAGTATCAGCCATAAACATGGGGGTATGAAGAATGTCCATCAACTAAAACAGAATCGAAATTAGCTTCAAGGACCTCAGTGACGTGACGACAGTGGTGTGACTGCACTGAAATGACAACAGCGTAACCCACAAAGGGCTTCCCAGTAGCCCAAGAAGGAATCAAAAGTCTAATCTGATGCTTTCCCGTAGAACAAATGGGGCAGTTTTTGGCGGGAGGTCCAGGGTTTGCTTTGTTTTGTTTTAGTTTTTAAAATCAGAAACATAAAGTTCTTTGCCTTGTGAAACACAGCAGTTCTTCTCAGACTGACAGAGAGGCTAAACACTGCAAATTCACCCCACCGTTTCAGGAAACTCTCCCTAGCAGGCGGGCGTCTGAATTTTGTTGGGGCCCCAGTCATTGAGTTTGAGGCTTCCTACTTGCCACAACCAAGACATTGTCATTTCTACCACTTTATAAATATGTACAGGGTAGACACGTAACCTATTTCAACACCAATTACGAATTTTTACAGTACATACAATTGACTCACCCATGCCTCGCTCACATCACAAAGTTATTTAAAGTCTTTTTCTCTTCACTGCGAGTTTTGTCCAACTGTAAGAAGGGTGTTTCTCTTTTCTTTTCTTTCTTTCTTTTTTTTTCTTTTGTTCTGACAAAAAGACAGTCTACATTGTATCTCCCCAGCGGGGTGCTTTGAGAGTTCAGGGTGGAGAGGAAGAGGCCAGCCTTCAGGGAAGGGTCTTCTCTTCTCATTTTTTATTAACATCTTTATTGAGACATGATTTACAGACCATACAAACCATTGAAAGTGGACACGTCAATGGTTTTTAGTATGGTCCCAGGGTTGGGCAGCATCCCCATAATTACCTTTAGAATACTTTTGTTACCTCCAAAAGAAATCCAGTACCTTTCGCCATCATCCCTCCCTCCGTCCTCCCTCCGTCCAGCCTCTGGCAGCCACTAATCTGCTGTCTCTCCACATTTCCCGACTGTGGACATTCCATCGGAACAGAATCATACAATATGTGTCCTTTTGTGTCTGCCTTCTTTTATTTAGCATGTTTTCAAGGTTCGTCTATGTTGTAGCAAGTGTCAGCAATTCAGTATTTGTAATGACTGAATAATATTCCATTGTATGGAGAGACCACATTTTGATTATCCATTCCACTTTGCGGACACCTGGGTTCTTTCCACCTTCTGGCTATTCTTAAATAGTTCTGACATACACATCCGTGCATAACTGCGGTTTGAAGGCCTGCTTTCAGGCCTATGGGCTGTGTGCCCAGGAGGGGACTTCCTGGGTCACATGGTCATATTCTGTGTTTGCTACTGTCCGTTTCACGTACCCCCAGTCCTGTACAGGTGTGAAGTGGAATCTTATGGTTTTCATTTGAATTCCCTGATTACTAATGGTGTCAAGCATCTTGTCATCTGCTTATTGACAATTTGTTTATCCATGGAGAAATACCTATGCATGTCCTTTGCCCATTTAAGAATATTTTGGTCAGTTGTCAGAGTTCTTCCCATATGCTGGATGCTTTCTTAATTTACATGATTTGCAAGTACTTTTTCTCCCACTCTCTGGGTTGTCTTTTCACTTTTTTGTTAATGGCCTTCAATGCACGACGGTTTTTTAATTTTCATGAAGTCCAATTTATCTGATTTTTCCTTGTTGCTTATGGTTTTGATGTCCTATCTAAGACTCCACTGCCAAAACCAAGGTTATGAAGATTTACTGCTATGCTTGCTTCTAAGGTTTTTCTAGTTTTTGCTCATATTTAGGTCTTTGATACATTTTTGCCTGATATTCGAATATGGTGTGGGGTGGGTGCCCACCTTCATTCTACTGCATGTGGATATGCAATTGGCCAAACACCAGCGGTTAAAAAGACTATTCTTTCCCCCATTCACTAGTCTTGGTACACTTCTTGATAATAAGTTGACCCCAGATGTGTGGGTTTACTTGTACAGCCAGGTCTCCTCCGGCGACCTGCACGTGCACCCTTGCAACGGTACCAAACTGTCTCGATTGCCATTGCTTCGCACGAGTTAGGGCGTTCCTCCTCCTTTCACCATAGTCGCTACCACTCGAACAAGTGCCCTTAGGCTTGAACTTTTCCACGTTCTGTTACAAATAGTCAGTTCCTCTGGGAAGAGATTAGGAGGCTGCTTCTCCCCCAGGCCAGGGCTCTGTGGCTGAGGACAGAGCCACAGGCAAACTTCTCTCTGAATGGCACCTCTGCTCTAGGAGTTAAAAGGTCATTTGGGGGGGGGGTGCGGGCAGCAGCCCAGGATCCTTCCAGCTTGCCTTTCCAGGCCTGGAAGCACCCCCTCGTAAGCGAGGGCGAGGGTATCCAGGGACCCATAACTCCCAGTGCACCGTGCCAAATGAGAGCCTCCGTCCAATGAGTGGCAGCTGCATGGGAGAAAGGAGCCCTCACCTCTCCACTGCACTTACCTGGGACTTAGTCTCGGCAACAGGCAGTGGGGAGCTGGTGAGAAACACTTCAGTCCCGCTCCTCCTGGGAAGAAAGCCCTCCAGCTGGGAGTTGGGGGCAAGGAAACCTAGTGTTCTCGGCCGCACCAGCCTGAAGTGGGGTCTCCTCCTCGCAGAGCTGGGAGAGGGGAAGGAGGGAGCTGATCTCAGTTCAACAATTAGAGATACTTAACACATTTTTGTAGATTTACTTGAATAGGCATTTATCAACTTGCTGTTTACCCTTGGGACCACTTCCAGAGACTTAATTTTGGTTTTTTTTTTTTTTTTTTTTTTTTTTAAAGGGGCGCCTGGGTGGCTCAGTCGGTTAAGCTTCCCACTTTGGCTCAGGCCATGATCTCACAGTTTGTGCGTTCGNTTTTTTAAAGGGGCGCCTGGGTGGCTCAGTCGGTTAAGCTTCCCACTTTGGCTCAGGCCATGATCTCACAGTTTGTGCGTTCGAACCCCGTGTCAGGCTGTGCACTGACAGCTCAGAGCCTGGAGCCTGCTGCGGATTCTGTGTTCCCCTCCTCTCTTTCGGCGCCTCTGCCGCTCACACGGTCTCTCTCTCTCAAAAGTAAACATTAAAAATTAAAAATAAATAAAAATAAATAATTTTCACCCATTTCACTGGGGAGTGAGTCTGTAGACCTCGTCACACTGTTGTGCTGGAAGTTTATGGAGGTTTCGGAGCCGCTTCAGTGAGAGTAAAGGAGGGAGGGATTTGGGGAGGGCTGCAAAGCTGCTCACGCCGGTACTCACCGCTCGGGATTTACTCTGGGTGTTAAGTGGCCTTTTGCCAGCTGGAACAAATGAGCCTTTAACGACAGCTAAGGCCCCGATCATATGCTACGGGATCCCCGGGAGCCCTTTGAGGTCCCCTAGGCCAGACCACGCAGCCCCCCGAACGCGTAGGACAGCGGGAGGGCTCTCACTCTGTCTGCTCTCACTCAACAGTTAATAAGGGCTGTGCTACCAGACCCTGGAGAGCCTGTCTCATCCGCTAACCCGGCCCTGCTCGTCTTTAAGGAGGGCATTCTAACGTTACCGGCCTCACGTTGGGCCCCAAAGGTGTACAGCACAAGAGCGACCGAGGCTGACAGATTTGGTGGGTTAAGCCACCGAGGCCCCTTTTTAGATTCAGGCACTTTGTTACTTACATCAGCGGCAGAAGGAAGAGACCTCAAAGGTACCAGCTCCTTGCGATCTTCGTCCCGTGTGCCCAGATGGCTGGAAGGGGCTGGAAGGCTGGCCGCGTGAGCTGTGAGCCACCCCACCGCCGAGGGACCTCTCACAGACCGCGGCCACGCATTTGTGCGGAGAGCGGCGCGGCAGGGAGTATCCTCATACCTCATCTGAACCGAGGAGGCACAAAGTAACTGTTTCAGGACAGCCTCCCGAAGTTTCTCACAGGCCTCTAGCCTCTCATGTAACAGGACGATCTCAAGATGTTCTGCCAAGACCCAGATTAGCTGTTTGTTCAAGCCTTGCCTACGTGGCATATGTGGAGACCATATAGGTGCCAGGGCACCATGACAGAGCTGTTACCCCATACACGTATCCCCCCCAAGGCAGGGAACACGACGCGACAATCCAACCCAAAGACCACATTCAAATATTGCAACTGTCCCAACAATTTCGTTTTCCTTTCTGGTCCAGAATCCAATACAGGGACACATGCTGTACTTAGTTATCGTGTCTTCAATGTCTTTCTGTCCAGGGAAACTCCTTGGCTATCCCCATTTTTCATGTCCTTGACAGTTAAACCACCCGTCAGCCTGCCTTAGCGTCCGTCGATGACTCCCACCTCCATCAGCCACTACTGTGATGATCACCCAAGGATGATTTTCTAATTTCATCATTCCTTCTCCATTTATTAGTTGACCTTCTACTTAAAGGAATAGCTTTCTTTCCTTCTTCATCTATTCATTTTTATCAGTGTGGACTCAGATTATTATATTATTCAAAGGATTATCATCTTTTATTTCGATGCACAAATTGTTCCAGATTTGGCCAATGGGATCCCTTCAGGCTGGACCAATTTGCCTACTGAAATGGTCCAAAAAGATGGTCTGAGGGGGGGAGGGGGGAGGGGCATGGAGGAGGACACTTGTGGGGATGAGCACTGAGTGTTATGTGGAAACTAATTTGACAATAAACTACTTGTAAAAAAAAAAAAAAAAAGATGGTCTGGGCACATCTTGTACTTTCTCTGGAAAGTACAGTACTCAGCCCTGGAAGCAACCATTTCTTCCAAGGGTCCCTGTTTACCTTCAGTGAAGGACAGTATTTGAGGACCAACATCTAGGTGATAGATGTGTTCATAGATACTGGATATCACTTGTTTTAAGATAATTTTTTAAAAATGTTTTTTATTTATTTCTGAGAGAGAGGGACAGTGTGAGCAGGGGAGGGTCCGAGAGAGGGAGCCACAGAATGTGAATCAGGTTCCAGGCTCTGAGCTAACTGTTAGCACAGAGCCTGATGCGGGGCTCGAACCCACAAACTGTGAGAACATGACGTGAGCCAAAGTCGGATGCTTAACCGACTGAGCCACCCAGGCGCCACTGGATATCACTTCTAATCCCTGTTAATGGACAGAGTGAAGAAATGTGTATGTGTATACACACACACACACACACACACACACACACACACACGTATGTGTATATATATATACACACATGTATATGTATACACACATACACCTCTATCTCTATGTATATAAATTCTTTCCCTTGAAAAAATTTCATATTAATACTTCCAATTTCTTTTCTTTTTTTTTTACTATTTTGGGGGGGGGAGGGGCAGAGGGCGAGAACCTCAAGCAGGCTCCATGTTCAGCACGGAGCCCGACACAGGCCTAGATCCCACAACCCTGGGCTCATGATCTGAGCTGAAATCAAGAGTCAGATGCTCAACCAGCTGGGCCACCCAGGCGGTCCAATACTTCCAATTTCAATCTAATTTCATGAGGTTCATTTTACCCTTCCCTCTTTTCATGTAAGTTATTTTTCTGACACTGAGAAACCCAGCTCCCGCTTGCCTCACGACTTGCACAATCAAGTTATTTATTTAATGTGACCGATGGCTGGCTGCCTCCTCACCCTGAGGGCACCTGCACACCATGACTTTCACTGGATTTCCCCCACCAAGGCCTTTGTGCAGTACCTCCAGCCCTGCTTCCTCAGCCACCAGGCACTGCGACGTGTCCACGCAGCTACTTTTCCTCCCATATGCCTGTCTTACAGATGACAACTCAGACAATCAGGTTAGAAAAAGAATTCAAATTGCCATAATTCTATAAATGTAAATAGTTTAGGAGGCAATAGAGAGATGTTAAAGATGTCTATTCCAGGGTGCCTGGGTGGCTCAGTCAGTTGAGCGTCCCACTTCGGCTCAAGTCATTATCTCACAGTTCCTGAGTTCAAGCCCCGTGTCGGGCTCTGTGGTGACAGCACAGAGCCTGGAGCCTGCTTCGGATTCTGTGTCTCCCTCTCTCTCTGACCCTCCCCTGCTCGTTTTCTCTCTCTCTCTCTCAAAAATGAAGACACGTTGTAAAAAAGATGTCTATTCAGCTTCTGATTTGTGCAAATGGTTGTTCCGTTCAACAATGGGAACAAAGGAATATGGTTGAGATTGAAAGCCAGGAGTCCAGATTTAGATATATTAAGAGATCCAGCGGAAATGTGTAGAAGGCAGGTGGGAATGGAGATCTAAGGCAGGTGGAAGTGGAGATTTAGAGTGCACACGGAGGTCTGGATGGAGACATGGGTTTGTCTGTCAACTCCGTATAGGTAAGCAACAATAGAGAAGCCTATGAGTGAATCTGAGAAGAACAGCTAGAGGAGAGAAAAAGCAGAGAGAAGCAGAAGCCACGAGAGGTAGATTTCAAAGAGAAGTAGCTAACTGCGTCAAGACTGGCAGGCTCACTAAGGGCATGGAAAGCATCTGCTGACGTTCACTATGTGGAGGTCACTGGGTGACTCTGGCAGGAGTGGCCGGAACGTAGTGATAGGTGCAGAGGTCAGAATACGATGAGTTGAATGAATGGAAGATGAGAAAACAGAGAGAGGAAGCAAGTGTACATATTGTTCCCATCAGAATCTTGGCTGTGATTGAAAATAGAGTATCTACTAACCAGAAGAGCATACGGGGTGGCGAAGGGAATGCACTATTTGGTGGAAAGTAAGCCCAATTAGTACAGGTGGGAAAATAATGACACACCGTCTTTGTATCACTGTCCCTCGTGCCACTGAACACTGTTAAAGACTGAACACTGGCCTCAAGGAACGCTGTTGGTCGTCTACCCCAACCTTCTAAGTGAGAAAAGGGAAGCCCCGTAAAGGAAAGGGACATGTGCTCGACTTCGGCCTGTGAAAACATTCAAATCATGTTACTCCCCTTGGGTTTTCTTATCACTCCTATCTTATTTCATAAATTAAGTACCATTCATCCTAGTTCCTTATTTAATACTTCTAACTTTTTATTTTGTAATAATTATGGATTGACAGGAAATTGCAAAAATAGTACAGTGCGTCCCACGTACCCTTCACCCAGTTTCCTCCAGAGGTAAGATCTTACATGATTAGTACAACTTCAAAATGAACATATTGACGATGGTATAATACTGCTAACAAAACTACAGACCTTGTTGGGTTTCAGCAGATTTTACCTGCCCTCATTTGTGGGTCTATGTAGTTTTAGCACAGATAACTTAACACCATCGTCAAGATACCGAGTTCTTTCATTGAATTATTTCATTGGCACAAAGGAAATCCCTACATTGATCCCTTTATAGTCGCACATATCTCATACCTCCTCCAGCCCCCAACCCTGCCAAACACTAATCTGTTAGTCATTTCTATAGTTTTGCTCTTTCAAGAATGCAGTCATAGCACGTGTGACCTTCGAGGCTGGCTTTTTCGTTCATCGCGATACCCTCGGGGTCCGCCCACGTTGGGTAGATAAGCAGTCGCCTGTTTTTCCTCACTGCAGGGCAGTATCCGCGGTACAGGTGTTCGCTCTAACCACTCACTCGGTTGTGGGACAGCTGGGTGTCTCCAGTTTTTGGCCGTTACAAACAAAGCTGCGAAGAATGTTGGTGTATGAGTTTTTATGCCAACACAGGTCTCACTTCTTGGGGATGAATGTCCCGGAGTGCAATTGCTGGGCTGTGTGATACATGTGTGTTTAACTTTGTAAGAAATTTCCAACCTCTTTTCTAGAGAAGCTGTGCCATTTGGCATTCCCGCAAGCGCTGTATGCGACATCCAGTTTGTGTGCTCGACAGCCGCTGCTATTTGTACTATTTCTTCTTGAGCCATTCTGATAAGTATGTAATCATAATTCATTGTGGTTTTAATTCGCATTCCCTGATGGCTAATGAAGTTCAAGATCTCTTTATGTGCTTACCTGCCATCCACGTATCCTCTTTAGTAAAATGTCTACTCATATCTCTTGCTCACTTTCTAATCAGACGGTTGCTTACTGTTGATTTTACATAGTCCAGACTGATCAGATGTTTCATTTGCAAATAATTCCCCTCAATAATTTCCACCTCCTAAATTTTTTACAGAGCAAAGTTATTTCATTTTCAAGTCCAGTATATCAGTTCTTTCCTTTTAGGACCGTGCTTTTGCGGCGGAGGCCAAGAACTCGTTGCCTAGCGCAAGATCCTCCTGATTTTTCTCTGATTTTTTTCCCCCTAAAAGATTTATAGTTTTACATCTTTCACCTAAATCCATGATGTTTTTTGAATCAATTTCTGTCTAAGGTATGCAGCTTAGATCAAAGTTCATTTTCTTGCCTATGGGTATCAATCGCTCCAGCATCCTTTGCTGAAAAGACTATCTATCCTTACTCCATTGAACTGCTTTTACACGTTTGTCGAAGTCAGTTGGGCATCTAGCACACTGTCTTGATTACTGTAGCTTTATAGTAAGTCTGCAAGCCAGGTAATGTGAGTCTTCCAACTTCTTCAAAATTGATTTAGCTTCATTAATTTTGTACTTGGATAATTTCATTTTTCCTAGAGGGAAAGAAAAAAAAAAAAAACCAGAACTGTGGCCGTGAGAAATTACGGAAAAACCAGCACTTACACTCATGTGCTACAGTAGTGGCTTTTAAACTTCAGTATGCCTTAGGATCAGCTAGGGAGCTCACAGAGCTTTTTAGGTTCCACCCCCAGAGATGAAGTTTGACCTCCCAGTGATTCACGAGCAGGTGGACTACACCTTGAAACCTGAAAAACATTAATCTAGGGAGAAGCAAGAAGAAAAATCAAAAAACAAAACCAACCCTTTGCCACTATTGTTGAGATTGATTTCTTTCTTCCCACCTCCTCCAATTCCCGCTTTAATTTCAAGTATACAATAGGCTTAACTCTTTGCTGAAGACACGCTTATCATCTGTGGTTATACGCAGCAAGAATCATGCAACAGAACTTGTTAAAACATGATTTCTGTTACACCCTAAGTCCTAAGTGTTTCTGGAAAACCATATTTAAATTATGATGGAAGTTCCTAGGTAAATAGGATCTGTTCGGTGGGGATGTGCTTCAGACTTACATATGCTAGAACTCATCTATTTGGTTAGAACGGGCACCCACAGATTCGACCTTCGATAGGTATCTCAGGATGCCTAATATTTCAGAGACGAAGAAGGAAGACATAAGACATACGGCTCTCGCTGAGGGCTGCCAGGGGAGGCACGGTGCTAACGAGCCACCCTCACTTCCTCCCACGACCTACAGTGGGCGCAGTTACTAGTCCAACAGGAGCATCGTGACTACACGATTGAGACATGAAATGCCCTTCTGCCTCTAGGGATTGGATCTAAAAATGAAAATAAAGACTTTTGGGTTAAACGAGGACAAAGTAAACATTTAAAATATACTTCTTGGATATTTCATTACACGATGTCCAGGCCTTCCATAGCCTTTAAAAACCCTTTACTCCTTAACTCATCTTCATACGTACTTCGTAGGCCAGTTACAGGGAGAGGGTTCAGGGAGCCCCCGCGACACCTTCAGGAAGACAGCGCATGCTCAGTGCATGCTGAGCGCCCATCCGCTGGGCTGTAAGAGCGGCTGCGGAGCCGTCTGTCTACACACGGGGTGGGTGAAGTCTCAGACCATGCCTGATATGCAAACTGAAAACAAAATGTTTACCCCGGCGGTCTCCGACTTTATTCCAGAGAAGATAGTTCTCGCAAAAGCTCTTCCTTTTCGTGCTGCAACTCCTGCAAATGCTGTTGGTTTTGCTCCAGCCTGTCCTCCAGCCACTGCAGGAGAGGCCCGCTGACTGCCGACATCTGGCTGCACAGGTTCTTGGTGAACACTTCAACGGAAGAAACGCACAGATGGGGGACACGTGCCAAGAGGAACCCCCAGCCGGGAGCACGTAAAGGAGGAGCTGCAGGGGGAAGTGGGCCTGGCAGACGGCAGCGGCTCGCCGCCCATGGGGGGAGAGAGAAGAGGCCGGCGAGGAAGACGCCTCTCCTGCGGCCTCCCGCCTGCGCCTGGATCCGGAGGGCGGAGGGGAGCCTGGCTGTGCAGGGGGCAGAAACCGGCTCTTCCCTCCCCCCCAGAGAAGGGCGAAGAACCACAGGTCTCTTCCCCAGCCCCGGGCCTCCACGCGGTGCAAGTGACAAGTGGCCCCGACTCGGAGGGCGCTACAACGTGGCCTCCTTCTGCAACGGCTTTTTCCACAGGCCCAGGAGGAGAATGGCTCAAACGTTCCGCCGATTCAAGAAATAAATACATAAATTCAACTCTCCTGAGAGCTACTCTTTTTTTTTTTTTAATGTTTTTAGTATCATTTATTGTCAAGCGAGCTAACATGCAGTCTGTACAGTGTAGAGCTACTCTTTTCCAATGAGGAAAGCGGACGAAGAGGAGGGGAGCTATCATCCTTCAGGTTGGGCTTGACATGGAGACAAGATTCTGTAGTGCTCTTTGTAAAACAAACTCTGCCTAATGGAAACATCTTTCTCTCCTGCATTACACAGGACTTCTTGAAAATGACCAGCGTAAGACTGTGTGGTGTGTCTTCCCAGACAATACGTATGTGGATACGCGTGTATGTGTGTGCCTCTGTACGTATGCTTTGAATACAAGCCACAGGATTTGGGATGTTATATTCTGCCACCCAACAATGACATCTTTCTGGTCAGTAAAGATGTGGCTTGCCTTCTCGAGGGCTGCACAATATTCAGAAGTCTTCTGCGCATGGACATTTCAGTGGCATCCAGTTGTTTGCTATGATAAAGACTGTGACTAACATCCCTTTCCATTGCTTTCGGCGGGCCACCCTGAGGTGGCTCAGTCAGCTAAGTGCCTGACTCTTGACTTCAGCTCAGGTCATGATCTCACGGTTTGTGAGATCGAGCCCCACATTGGGCTCTGTGTTGATAGTGCTGGGCCTGCTTCGAATTCTCTCTCTTCCCCTCTCTCACTCCGCCTCCCCCTACTCTGTCTGTCTCTCTCTCTCAAAAGTAAATAATAGACAATAAAAAAGTAATGGGGCGCCTGGGTGGCTCAGTCGGTTAAGCGTCCGACTTTCGCTTCGGTCGTGATCTCGCGGTTCGCGGGTTTGAGCCCCGCGTCGGGCTCTGTGCTGACTGCCGGCTCGGAGCCTGGAGCCTGTTTCAGTCTGTGACTCCCTCTCTCTCTGACCCTCCCCTGCTCACGCTGTCTCTCTCTCTCCTAGAAATAAATAAAACATTAAAAAAAAAAAAAAAAGTAGCAACAGGGGCACCTGGGTGGCTCAGTCAGTTAAGCATTCGCTTCGGCTCAAGTCATTATCTCGTAATTCGTGAGTTCGAGCCCTACATCAACCTGTGGTGACAGCTCAGAGCCTGCAGCCTTCTTCGGATTCTGTGTCTCCCTCTCTCTCTGCCCCTTCCCCACTCATGCTCTGTCGCTGTCTTTGTCTCTGTCTCTCTCTCAAGAATAAACATTAAACAAAACTTAAAAAAAAGAATGTCTCTTTCATTTGTCACCGAACCCCCGAGGCTAGAGCAGTGCCTAGCTGAGAGCAGGCCCTCAGATGTTTCCCGAATAAACTAACAAACAAATGAACTGTCCCAACACTAGTGAATAATCCATCCTTTCTTACTGGTTTGAAGTAATATATTTCTTCAATATAAATTTTTATATACACATGGGCTCATTTCTGGGCTCTATTCAGTTCTACTGATTTAATTGCTCATTTTTTATACGTTTTAAATTTCTGTGGCTACAGATCTTATATTACCAACCTTTAACTCTGCCATGTTTTACCTCCGGATAGAAACGATGGGACAGAAATGCCAAGCCATCTCTTCTTTGCCTCTCAAAGTGGTGGCCTATAACACGTGAAAGCCTCACCTGCTTCCTCACTGGTGACTTTGGCAGTCACCGGGGAAGACTACGGAGAAGGGCCTGGGAGCCAGGGTTATGCAAAGATGAGGGACGGGAGGGTGGGTGCGTGTGCTAGAGAAAAGCAATTTAGTGCGTATGTTGTACTGAGTTTCTGATCCTTGGCCTTGTGTAGGATTCCTTCCCTGTTTGCTGACATGAAAAGATTTCCTCTTTCATATCCTCCCTTTTATCTGTCTATCCGCCTCTTTCACCCCCCCCCCCCATAATAGACTGGTAGTGGTGTGCCGGAACCAGTTTAGATCAGCTCATGAGAGCCAGCTGTTGAAATTTCAGGAAGTCTGCAAGGTGGCTGAGGCCACATTAGTTGTTTGAAATCAGCCACGGCAGGGGCAGCACGCCACTGAGGAAGCTCGGCCCAGTCTTTTCTGTAGCCTTAGGCTACGCAGCGTACACAGTAAAGGGGCCACAGGGTCCTAAAGAAAAGCTGGGAGTAGACCTAAGGAATGGCAAAGCTCCTGGAAAAGGACATTCAAGGAGAACTTGTACCTATCACTTCAAGCACTTGTACTAAATTTGTTTCTGTCAGCGGAGTAATTAGGGACCGCGGCCTACAGTCTAAAAAAGAAAGTCTTACCTGAGCCATTATGGATCTTGGTTACTGAATCCAGATGCGTAAGGCTAGAGGGAACAAACGGTTTAGGTCAGTAGCAAAGCAGCAGTGAAGGGAAAACAAAATGGTCAGGGACTATATACCAAGTGATACACTGCCCTAGGCCTTTGCCAGTTGGGTTGGATGACTGTGTCATTGGCCTTGAAGGATGCAGAGTACAGCAGGAGAGCAATGAATGTTAAACAGAGTGTTAACATGCCATGTCCAGAGAGGGGGAAGAAAGGGGGGCCCGAGGAGAGAAGAGGGACCAGGCCTTGAGGAGAAAGACGAGAGAGGAAGGAGGCCTCTACCTGTGGATCCTCCTATATGCGTCCTGCTCCTCCTGACACAGGATCTTGGGCAGCTCGACCGCTGATTCAAGGCACACTTTCCCGATGGTTACATGAGGCACGATATGGATTGGGATTTCAATCCTCTCATACCTGCAGGGCAGTCAGTTCAGGTCAGTTTTATGTTTCCAGCTTTATTCTGGTGTAATTGACAAAAAAGGAATTATATACACTTAAGGTATAGGAACCGATATTTAGACATTGATATTTTGAGTAAAATGATCACCGCACTCAAGCTAATTAGCATATCCATCACCTCACGTAGTTACCATTCTTTTTGTGTGTCCGTGGTAAGAATGCGTAAGATCTACCTTCTTAGAAAACATTGAGTATACAACACAGTATTGTTAACTGTACTCACCACGTCGTGCCTTCGATCTCCAGAACGCATCGTCCTGAAACTCTGATCCCTTTGACAGACATGTCCTCATTTTCCCCTGCAACGCTCTTGCCATGGCGGCCGCCATTCTACTCTCCGCTTCAATGAGTTTGACTATTTTTATTTATTTCAATCCATCCACTGACAGACCTTAAGGTTGCTTCTGTATCTGCACTATTGTGAGTAATATTTCAATGACTATGGGAGTGCAGATATCATTTTGAGATTCATATTTTATTTTCTTTGGATATATAACAAGGGGGTGAGTTTTTAATGCTGAATTGTCATAATCAGAAGTTTTCTATAGTCCTAATAGAAATTTGGGGATACGCTGGACTCAGAGATTAGACATTCCTGTCATTCATTTAGTAGCTCAACTTCAAAGTGGACTGAGGTTCAAACTGAGCTCATCTGGAGAGTAAATTAGAAGCACATTTGCAGAGTCAATATTCTCTACTCTCCTACAAAATCTGAAGACTCGAGAGCACAAGATTATGCTTACTCCCCAGACAAGGGGAAAAGGGGAAGAGCTAATTAACACAGTTTTGGGTTGAGAAGGTGCTAGTGGTGTTGAACACATTGATCGCGAAGCCTGGGGAAGAGTAACTGCGGACTCTTCAATGATTCATCAGATTCATGATGTAGATGAGATTACTCCTATAAATCCTCATTCGTTCTACCTCCGTGTTCACCAGTGGCCCTCACTTCCCGTTCTCTCCCCTGGGAGGGAAATAGGTAAGAAATTCACGAATACTTGTATTTTCATGCTAGAGTGGGAGAAACAAACATGCTTGTTACTGAGGCCAACCTATCTACCTCTAACCCACTTCTCACCCCAAATACAAACTAAATTCCACCTAATGGGGGGTTCAGTGGAACATCCGGGTTGAGGGCCACTGGCACTGTGGGGCCTCACTGGCACATGGCAGAGCAGCAGCATAAGATGTAGCTTCCTCTCTCTCTTTCCCACCCTGCAGAATGTGTCTGGGCTCTATACCGCGACATATGTAGGACACAAATAACGGGGAATTACAAGCACCCCTCCTCACATCCAAGTAGTCAGGGAGAAATTCATGAAAGTATGCCCTAGCTGCTTTTGGTGTGTAGAAGGCTCTTTGCAGGAAGACACAGTGACTGTTATTATTTTTTATAAATATTTATTTACTTATTTATTTATTTTAATGTTTCTTTCCTGAAAGAGAGAGAGAGAGAGAAACAGTGTAAACTGGAGAGGGGCAGAGAGAGAGCGAGCGAGAGACAGAGAATCCAAAGCAGGCTCCAGGCTCTGAGCTGTCAGCACTGAGCCAGACGCGGGGCTCGAACCCACAGACTGGAAGATCATGACCTGAGCTGAAGTTGGATACTTAACCAACTGAGCCACCAGGTACCCCTTTATTTATTTTGAGAAAGACAGAGAAAGAGCACAAGCAGGGGAGGGGCAGAGAGAGAGGGACTGAGAGAATCCCAAGCAGCCTCCACACTGTCAGCCCGACACGAGGCTTGAACTCATAAACCATGAGATCATGACCTGAACCAAAATCAAGAGTTGGACAGTTAACCAACTGAGCCACCCAGGCGCCCCACGGCGACTGTTACTACTGGTGATTCCAAAAACCTGGAAGAAGTCAGTCTCCAGCTATTACGTAGCTGCTGTAAGGCTACGTAATAGGGTTTCCTGCTGAGTCTGTCAGGACCATGAGCAGAAACGGTTCCAGTGGCCCACTGGGACTGGACTCACATTTTCATAAACTCCTCCCGGAAAGAGCTGGAGCCTCTGCCAGTGCACTCAAAACTGCAAGCCCACGACCCGTGTGGGTGGAGATGCAAAGCTTAGGACAGAGACCCTGCTTCTGCCACTGAACTGCAGGTGGGCCTGGAGCAGCTGGGGTCCGAGCCGCACAGGAAGTGGATTTTGTACCGTGCGGGACTCTGACTGTATTTTCTCTTCCTTAGGATTTTCTCAATAACATTCTCTCTTCTGTAGCTTACAGGATACAATCCATATACCATACAAAACTTGTGTTAATTAGTAGTTTATGTTACTGCACTAAGGCTTCTGGTCAATAGGAAGCTATTAGTTAAGTTTGTTGACAGTCGCAAGTTCCGTGCAGGTTTCTTACCGCCCAGGGGGTCGGCACCCCAACCCTTCTGTGGTTTAAGGGCCAACTGTAGATGGTTAAGACTATTCCTGTTGAGAACAACTAGAAGAACTAGTCCAAATAAAACAGCATCTATTGATATGTGTTGCGACTTCATGGGAACATTTACTTTGTGAAAATTCTTGCAACTGATCCTCGCTGTGGACGCGCGTGTCTTCACCTTGTGGAGACTTACGGACATTAAAATTAGTGCACTCTTCTGTATGCATTACGCTTCAACTGAAAAGCTAAAACCAACCAACCCAAGTTTCTGACAAAGAAGCTCTAGAGTTTGCTAGAGCTCACAGGTCAGAACATAGGCACTAAAGTACTAGTGTGGAAGTCTGCCACTGAAGGGGTGTTCCACTACTTACGGAGCATCAGGGGCACAGTGGCAAAAGGGAAGCCTTGTTTCAAGGATCTTACAATGTTAGTAGAGAGATAAAATATTAAAGTAAAATGTTATAAGTATCATGATAAAGGAAATATAGTGTCCTATTTAGTTCTCAGAAGGAGTACTTAGCTTGGTGGTATTAGGGATTAAGGGATTTCAGAGAAGCATTCCTAAATTTGAGCTTGGTCTTCAAAAAGGAGTCGGCAGGCATTCACTAAGTAGTAAAAGGGAAACGGATACTGCAGGCGCTGTGGGCAGAGACACGACCAGGAGAGACTGTAGCCAGGGAAGCAGGCGAAGCACGAATGGCTTCCGGTGTGGGGCTTTCGCTGCGGGCGTCAGGGAGCAGGGCCATCGCAAATAGGCTACGGCACGGCTTGCAGATTGGCGGGAAGGAAGACTGGAGCACAATGGGTGGGTGAAATGGAAACCAAAATGAAAGGAGTTTTTTAAAAATAATGACAATGAAAATACGACTATCCCAGTATCTGTGGGACATATTTAAAGCGAAGATCAGTGGAAAATCATACCTTAAGCACTTATATATCAGTGAAGGACCGAAAATATTTTAACCCCTAAACTCTAATTACTAAGATGAAACACAACAAAATAACCAAAGTAAAATATAAGGAAGGGAAAAAAGAAACCTACAAGAAAAATTAATGAGACTTGGAGGGAAAAAATCAAATTAATATATAAGAATGACTGTTTTGGGAGAAAACTAACAAAGTAGACACGCTGCGAGCTAACATAATCAAGAGGCGGAAAAGGAAAAAAATATGAAATGACAAACAGGAGATAAGTATTAAAAAAGAAGAGAAGTAAAGATCTGGAAGACAGATCTCTGTGCAAATAAATTTGAAAACAATACAAAATGGATAATTTCTTGGGAAAATACAATTTACCCAAACTGACCTCATTAAGAAAGAAAACATAAACAGACCAATTCCCATGTCAATCAGAGAAATATATCAAGGGAATACCTACCACCCCCCCCCAAATAAAAGACCCCACTGCTTTCTTCGAGGGATATTAAAACAATACACTATCCTCAATGCTACATACATTTGCACAAGAGCCTAAAAAAATGAAAGAAAGCTCCAAACAAAAAGAAAGCTCCAAACAATTCTTAGGGAGCAAGTAATAATATGGACAACTAAACCTGAATAAAGCAGTACTAAAAATTCCCAAAAGCTAAACTTATCATTACTCATGCAAACATACGAAACAAAATATTAGTGAGCAAAGCCTGATATCACATTAAGACAATCCAACAGAGTATTTTTTCAGGAAGGCAAGCTTGGTTCAATAGTGGGGAATCCATTAATACAATACCTCATATTAAGAGATCTGAAGAAAACATTAATCACCTCCATAGATACTGAAAAAATTAACAAAATTCAACACTCAATCCTGATTTCAGCACAGAATAAAAGAAGAAAATGGGAATGCATACTTTTTTAAAATTATTATTATTAGAGAGAGAAAGTACATGAGCAGGTGATAGGGGCAGAAGGAGAGAGAGCCGGATGCGGGGCTCAATCCCATGATCCTGGAATCAGGAGACAGACGCTCAACTGACTGAGCCACTCAGGCACCCCAGGAATCTATACTTTCTTAATATGAAAAAGTATGTTAACTTTAGTCCTGCATACAATCTTACTTAAGAGTGAGATGCCACAGGGATTTCCACAAGGCTCTATTCATAAAGCACGAGTGCTTAGTGCTTTCACTACTATTTAAATGCTGGAAAGTAGATGGTAGCCAGTACAGCTGCACATAAAAAATCAATTACATGCATGGAAATTGGAGAACGGAAGCTATTTTTATTTACAGACGAGATATGATATTTATCTAGAAGGCTCTAAAAAACCAAAGGTAAAATTAACTCAAAACATAAAGGAATTCAGGAAGATAAAATTTACATACCGAAATAACAGCCTTCAAATATACAAACAATAAAAAGGGTGGCAATGGAAAAAACGAATCCAAAATAAAAAGAATCTCATGTATACGCAACTTCCTTCCCATCTCTGACCCTCCAACATGCTGTTTCCTCTACCTGGAGTTTTCTTCCCAAGTTTCACTTGGCTAACTTTTACTCATCCATCACAAACAAGCTTAAGAATGCTTTCTTCAAATACCACACAATTTCACTTATATGTGGAATCTAAAACACAAA